GAAATGTAACTCAATCCTCACCAAAATACAAATACCTTATTGGGCACCAATGTTGATGGATAGATTCCAAACTCAGTAAGACACCCACTGAAAAGAAGGGATCATTTTTTACCAAAGCAGTATCAGAAGTAATATGATCAGCAGTAAATTATCTCTACATTCTAATGCATTTGCCATAAACTAACTGAACCATATTAGTGGCAGAGAATTGTCTGAATACAGTAGATGTCAAAAGAAGAACATGTTTACATCAGCATAATGTCACCATATCAGCAGCATCTTTCAACCTTCAATTTTGTTACATGAGAAACAGTAATGGTTCTTCTCTGCAGGTGGTTTATCTGTGCACTTTGATCAATGTAAACGCTGTACAAGCTTTTCATAGTGAATCCAATAAAGTTAGGTTCTACTACATCTTACACATGGTCATCCCATATACAGGTGCAGAATTTTACAACCTGCTGAAATGCTTCCTTAGTGCTGGAAGAACCGTCTCTGTTGCAGGCATGCTTCCTATTGGACTGGGCACACCCGGTGCACCTCTCAAGGCTATTACTGCAGCTTTGGTACTTACCTTCCCCATGACCCACCTCACACATCTGCTCCACTCAGCAACCATCAGCTGTATCTCTCTAGGAAAGTACAAAGAGCTCACTGGGTATTTTTTTTCTAGCTCTGCCTTCCATGCTTGTTCTCCATTCTGCTGCATGTCTATTGTAGTAACCTAGAGAAATGCACAAGATTTCTGCTGTTGCTCAAGTTCGGTACAGATAAAAGAGCTCAGGATCTTTTCATTAGGAGGTCACAGCTCCAATATAGTATTACAGATTCTATTACCTACGTTTCAGTCGACCTCTCAAAAGATTGATTTAACACCTCCAAAAAGATCAGTGTACCTTTGAAGCTAAACAAAGCTAATGTTTTTAGAATAGAAGTCCCTTTAAAGTGTTGAAATACTTACAACAATGGAGTCTAAACATAGATGGGGCTCAGTACACAAAAATAATTTAAAAGTGATGTCAGTGAATGAAAATCTATTGTCCTCAGCATCATGGAGAGCTTGCCATCTTCAGTGAGCCCTCATGTACCCTGAGTAAGTGCTCTTCTAATTCTTAAAGCTCAAGGGAAATCTCTCCCTAAAGGAAGAATGACAAATTTATCACAAGGAGTATGACAATAAAACTGCTGAAGCAATACACATACATTGCAATTAATACAACAGATTCTTATTTCTCAGACACCTGAAAAATTTTTAAATAAAAAAAGTAACACTAAAATTAGCAGTCATACTCATTATTACTAAAACTATCACTTAGCAAAACTGTTTCAAGAGTTCCATCCCAGCTGATGCTGTGAAAATTCATGAAAGACAACAACAATCAGGTAAGAGAGAGTCTGAAGGTGAAATGTACAGAATTAGTTCATAATTTAATTTCTAGAATCAGTGATTACTTAAGTATTTGAGTATTCTTGTTAACTACCACTCACTTTCCCTAAGGAAAAGCTACTGAGTACTTTAAGTGCAAGTCTGAGCGTGGAAATTCTGAGGTTTTCTTAATTCACAAGGCATGTACCTAACATTTTTTACACTAGAAATGTAGACAGATACACATATGGTAACTAGGTTTTCCTGTTTTAAAAAAAAGTAATTATAAAATTATAGGAACTTAGACTGACATTGCACATCAGGAGTTTGGTATGACAGGTCAATGTTCCAGACAAAACCACTGAAAGTAGTGCTTGAACAGACTTAAAGGAAAAAATTGTGCTTTTCTTTTTGCTGACAACTAAGCAACAAAGCACTTGGTAAGCAATACTTTGAGTTCAATTCTCTCAAAAAAACCAAAACAACAAAACAAACAAACAAACAAAACCATATTCATTGATATTCATTGAAAGGGTAAATTACTAATCCTAAACCAAAATGTAGACAGAGAATAGCTGCAGCTGCCAGTATCTGGCCAAACTAATAACCAAATAATCCCATTATAAAATCAGCTGTGTGCCACTACAGATTACTTAAAGCTCAAACTTCTATGTGTACATAGTTGTACATTCAGGTTTTTTAATTGGGTTTGGTTGGTTTTTTTCAAGGAGAGTAACTGGTATAGCATGTCACCTAGGACTACAGCTATTTTAAAAGACATTTCCGCTTTCTGTCATTGCCTTTCAAACCACAGATCCATCATGCAGCTGAAAGTCAAGCAATAATCAGAAATAGAAAACTTCAGTCTAAAATTTATGGCATCCATACAAGTGAATGATTCTATGTGTGTCTTTGTAAAAATGACCAATGGGTAATTTTGACATGTGCAATTTTCATTTTTAAAAAAGCAACAGACTGACTTATCAGAGTAATACTAATACATATACATTTTTTTTAACATCAAGCCACAGAAAAATTAGGGGGCACAGTGTACCTACTACGAATGTCCCTTGTTTATTAATACCCCTGCCTAAATACAGCAATACTAACACCTCCTGAAACAGGATGGAGATTTAATTAACATTAATTAAAGACAAAAATGAAAGAAGAATAAGAAAGATACATGGACACACAGATTATTAGCTTTAACATACAGAGGAACTCAGTTCAGTCAGGTCATCTGTTACTGTTACAAACTTACTTTTTCTAGCATTACTGGCTACAAGCATAACATAAGAGTGGCAAGACAATGGAAAATTAGGATTGTGCTAAGACAACATTTTGTTCACTCTACAGCTGGTTCCAATGGGGAAGAACACATAAGAACCACAGATAACATTCAGGTCTGCATCTTGGACATCAAGTTGCTCCTTGCACAACAAGCTGCTGGAAGAACAGCAATTGTTCACTTACCAGGACCATGATGTCCAGTCACACTGTTAATGAAATTCTAGGCTCTATTCATTCCATACCATTTATGTGAATGGAAACATGTAACAAAGTAACATATATAAAAAAATAAGATAATTGAGCTCACGTTACTAGAGGGAAGTACATGGCACTGAGGGGCAACTGAATCTGTGATAAATTAGCTATTATCAACTGCTGAAAATATCTTCTCCTTTTTATACTTTTTTTCATCTGCTTCTCTTCAGTTCTCAATAAATAATACAATAATTCACCTCAAGTTTCAGTTCATAGAAAGGTAACTCCATCCATAGATATGAGGAAAAGAATCCACAACCCACTGATGCCAACAGTGACAAGGTCACAAAGCAGTGCTACAGATGGGATGCTATCTCACTATCTTGTAAGCCATCAAGGTGATGAATAGTACAAGAGGCCACCAAAATAACCCTGAACTCAGGAAAACAAAAAATCTGTCACAAACACACTTTATATAGTTTGGCCACCAATTAATAATGGGATGTCATGATGCATATAAACACAGCACTAGCTTTGCACGGTTCTCTCTTGCTTCTATAAAGTAGTTCTACCTAGGGCAGCAGATACCAAGTAATTTACTTAAGTTACAAATAACCAACTTCTGTGGAAAACTGTGTCATTTACATGAAAATAGATACTGTAAAAAAATGGGAAAAACCCCCCAATGAAACGGAGACTGGTATTCAGATTCTTGTGTGAATTTAGCTACTCCTCTTATTAGATACTAAGTATCTAATAACCTCTTGGACATTTGTCCAAATAAGGCTTCTTCTCCACCTCCATTTCCAAAAAATACTGCTTTTGCCTGTTAAAAAAGCCATTTCTTCCCTTTTATTCAGTGGCACACATGCTCCCTATGGCACATCTCAAATGCATTCCTTCTCCGTTTCCTGCTAGATCCAAAAAATATTACAGACTACTGAAATAGATATTGCAGAAATTCGGATGTATATCCCAGCACAGATTTTTGCTCTACTGAAAGCAATTTATTACTGCATAATACCAGCCCATGCCAAATACTCAACATCAACATAATTAAAAACAAACTAGCACCCATTGCCTGAAGCAGAGCACTGTGAAGATCCCTACTGTAAGCAGCATCAAAGCTTGCATCAGGTGTCTCACCTGAGTTGTTTCATCAGCACAAAGGTAATGAAGAGACATTTTCTTAGCCCAGACATAAAATATGGAGTCCTAAATAAAGTAATTTAACATGCATAACGTTAGACTTGACACACTACTATTTTGAAAACCAAGTTCTCTTTAGGCAAGTATGAGAGCAAACCCTGGAGGCAACTGGTACTGCCATGTATTTTATATTTGCTATATATTCTTCCAAACACCAGCTACTCCTGTACCTATAAAAAGCTGCAGAAAAAGTAATCACTATCGACAGAAGAACTCAGGCTAAAGGTATGAATTCATACCTACTTACCCACCTTTGTGCTTCCAAATAAGTGTGCAGCTTCCTTCAGTCTTCACATTAAAAAACCCTCTAGTATTTAGATCTTTGAGAGGTAAGTTTCACAAAGTATAAAATATTTCAGGACCCCTTTTTTTTCCTCCAGTATCTACTGTTGTTTGTAATTCTGGTTGCCACATGTAGTAGAGGTACATCCAGATACATTTAAATCAATCCATGGCAGAATTCATAAATGTGTCAAACCCATAAATGTGCAGGAGAAAATGTTAGAAGCTATTTTCCATTGTGTTAGTGTCAACAGATAATTTTAAATTAAAGTAGAAAATTGCTTACTAGTCAGAACATGGAACATTTATTTTCATTTTACAGTAACATGGCTGTGGCTAATTTTTTCAAATGATTCCACAATTGCACCTTTTTTCAAATTTTAAAGTGAATATAAAATCAATGAAGAGGATGCATAAAGACACATGAACCGTTCTTAAACATTTCTTCTGATAGGAAGTTTTTTAAGAATGGGAAGCAACACGCGCTTCAATTAGCAGAGGGGCAGTTCAATTTCTAAGACTTTGTGCTGTTTCCTTTTCTGAATGCAGTGGGTTCAACACATGTGATGTCTGGTTCCCAGCTCTGCTTGTATCTGCTGGATGTCATTATGCACTGAAGATTTATGTTCAACTTCAAACCAAACGCAAGTTTCACACTCTAAGTAGGGATGCCCACAAGCATATTGTTCTTTGGAGAACAACTCTCTGGCTCCATAGATATAACTTGGACAGAGTAATTATGTTCTTCTGCAGCCTGTGCCCGATCTAGATCCACAAGCCCCATACACTGCTTTCCTAAAAAAAGAGCAAAGGAGAACATGGAAAATCTAAAAACATCGAAACATTATCAGGAATGTGCACTTCAATATTCAATGTCAAGAAAACAAATCAGTAAACAAGTTCCAAAACTACTTAGAAATGTATCTTGTTCTGTTTTTCTAAATCATATCTGTGACTTGTACCTCATTTTTAACAAAGATCTAGAGAAAGATTATTAACTCTTTACACATGGAGAAATAGAACAGGCAAAACTATTTTTCAGTATTCTCAAAACCTCCAGAAAAACTCATGCAGGTGGTGGCTTGGAATTTCAGAGAGGTAATAATAGGCTAGGAGACAATTTAGAGATACATTTAGAGTAATCCAGCTCAGTCCTACATGGATTTATATGTTACAGGGAGAAATCATCAGTTTATATAAACCAGTAAGGATAAGTCTCTATAAATTCATTCTTAATTCTTCTATTCTCCTTCATTGGTGGTTTCATAGAAAATCACATTCTGCAGCTGATTCAGCAAAATGGCATGTACATGACCCTAAAACTGACAGCACTATAATTATTATTCAGAGTGTACACACTAAGGGGTTTGGAATTGTCCCAGCTCAGGCCCGGTTCCCTGGATGCTCTCAGTAAGACTGTGAAATACACCGAGCAGTTCAGTGATCAGACAGAATAAATCAGGTGAGTTGTAGTGATGTATATAAATCCATTCACTACATCTGCACTCAGGTCCCACTACTACATACGATGGATAAAACACACATGGGCAGTGAAAATGGGAAATGGAATTTTGTTCATTTAAGAGAACTCCTCTAAGGAACGTGTAGTTTCAGCAATGACAGTCGCAGGCAGAATGCTGTAATGCAGTGCTTTAGGGGCTTGTAAGTAAGGAAACAAAATTATTTTAAATTCAGTAGTAATTGCTGAAATATAGTTTACAGTACAATCCTAAAATATTCAAAAAGTAGCAGCATGAGTCGTTTTGCCACCATTTACAAAAGAAAGTCTCTGTCTGTTCATGGATATTTGCATTAAAGGAAATCTACACAGTTTTCTCAATACCTGATCATGCTTATACAAAATTAAATAAATAAATAGTCTCACCATGGCTGTAAGACTGATCTGATTCAACCTTTAATTATTTGCAAACAATATTTAAATGAACCCAAACAAGATTCCCATAAAACCAGTTTCAAAGCTCAAATAGAACACTGAAATGGGAATGATCTTCACTGAAATAGATTAGTATTACATGGAGATTGAGCTAAAAATAGCATTCTTTAAAACATGAAAAGCAGTGATACTTCCTATAGGAGAAGGGAAAGGAATAAGATTTATGTTTCGGCTATTTTTTTGTCTCTGTCTGTTCATGGATATTTGCATTAAAGGAAATCTACACACAGTTTTCTATACCTGATCATGCTTATACAAAATTAAATAAATAAATAAATAGTCTCACCATGGCTGTAAGACTGATCTGATTCAACCTTTAATTATTTGCAAACAATATTTAAATGAACCCAAACAAGATTCCCATAAAACCAGTTTCAAAGCTCAAATAGAACACTGAAATGGGAATGATCTTCACTGAAATAGATTAGTATTACATGGAGATTGAGCTAAAAATAGCATTCTTTAAAACATGAAAAGCAGTGATACTTCCTATAGGAGAAGGGAAAGGAATAAGATTTATGTTTCGGCTATTTTTTTCTCAGGGCAAAGCACTGACAGAAGTTAAAATTTGTGGGCAGAAAAAAAAGGAAAAATAAAAAAATGGTAGTTTCAGAGACAGGGAACAGATGAAAGTTATACTCTTTCAAAAACGTTTTTGACGTTTTTGGAGTCCTTTTCCAATTTTCAGCCCACTTCTCAAGCAGTGCAAGACAATCTGGGGTGCTACACTGGTAACTGAACACTGCTAATTTTTTACTTTTTTTTTTTTTTCAAATACTGTGATAATAGTAAAGAAGCCAACAAATTTATTATAAAATAGGTATTTTTAGCTCAGACTCTGTACTATAGAATGTCGTGGGTTGGAAGGGACCTCTAGAGGTCATCCAGTCCAAGCCCTGTACAATAAGCAGGGACCACCTTCATATCAAAGAGCTTCTTCCTAATGTCCAACCTAAATCTACCCCTCTCTAGTTTAAAACCATTACCCTTTGTCCTACTGTTACATGCCCTTGTGAACAGCTCTTCCCCAGCCTTCTTATAGGCTCCTTTCAGGTATTGGAAGGTCGCTATAAGATCCCTCTGGAGTCTTCTCTTCTTCAGGCTGTACAACCCCAACTGCTTCAGCTTTCTTCAGAAAAGAAGTGCTCCAGATCTCTGATCATTTTCATGGCACTCGTCTGGACACACTCTAACAGGTCGACATCCTTCTTGTGCTGGGGGCCCCAGAGCTGTCCAGTACTCCAGGTGAGGTCTCACCAGGGCAGAGTAAAAGGACAGGATCATCTCTCTTGATCTGCTGGCCACACTTCTTTTGATACAGCCCAGGATGGAGTTGGCCTTCTGGGCTGCAACTGCACATTGGTGGCTCATGTCCAGCTTTTGATACACTAGTACCCCCCCATAGTTTTTCCACAGGGCTGCTCTCTAGCATGTCTTCCCCCAGCCTGTGTTCATATACCTGGTTTTCCTGGCTCAGGTGCAGGACTCTGCACTTGCCCTTGTTAAACCTCATGAGGTTCACCTGGGCCCACTTCTCCAGCTTGTCCAGGTCCTTCTGGATGGCATCTCATCCCTCTGGTGTATCGACTGCACCACCCATCTTGGTGTCATCAGCAAACTTGCTGAGGGTGCTCTCAGTGTTACTGTAAATATCATTAACAAAGATATTAAACAGCACTGGTCCCAGTACAGACCCCTGAGGGACACCACTTGTCACTGTTTTCCATCTGGACATTAAGCCATGACCACTACCCTCTGGATGCCACCATCCGGCCAATTCCTTAACCACAGAACAGTCCACCCATCAAACCCATATCTTTCCAATTTAGAGAGAAGGATGTTGTGGGGGACTGTGTCAAAGGCCTTGCAGAAGTCCAGATAGATGACATTCATAGGTCTTCCCTTGTCTGCTGATGCAGTCACTTCACTGTAGAAAGTCACTAGATTGGTCAGGCAGAATCTGCCCCTAGTAAAGCCATGCTGGTGGTCCTGAGTCACCTTCCTGTTCTCCATGTCACTTCGTATGTCTTCTAGGAGGATCTGTTCCATGATCTTTCCAGGTGAGGCTGACAGATCAGTAGTTCCCAGGGTTCTTCTTTTTACCCTTTTAAAAAATGGGCGTAATGTTTCCTTTCTTCCAGTCACCAGGGACTTCACCTGACTGTCATGACTTTTCAAATAGCATGGAGAGTGGCTTGGCAACTACACCATGCAGTTCCTTCAAGAGTCTGAGATGCATCTCATCAGGTGCCATGGACTTGTGTATGTACAAGTTCCTCAGATGGTCACGAACCTGGTCTTCGCTTACAGTGGGAAGGACTTTGTCTCCCTGGTCTCCATCTTGTGGGCCATCAGCTTGAGAGCTGTCAGGTGAGGGGTTTCCAGCGAAGACTGAGGCAAACAAGTTGAGAATCTCAGCCTTCTCCTCATCTGTTGTTACTAGTTCACCACTGTTGCACATTATGGGGGTAACGCTTTCTTTAACCTTCCTTTTCTGGTTTACGTGCCTCTAGAAGCCCTTCTTGTTTTGCTTTACAACCCTTGCCAGCTGCACCTTGGCCTTTCTGACCTCATCCCTACACAACCGGGCAACATCTCTGTACTCTTCCCAGGATACCTGTCCCTGCTCCCACTGCCTGTGTAGTTCCATTTTTCCTTTTTGATCAGCAGGACTTTTTGTCCAGTGAGTACAAGAAATACTTTGAATTCTTCAAATTAGGCTTTTAAAAACATTATGATTATTTGCTACTACTGCTTTCATACACTTCTAAGCGTTCCTTACAAGCCAGGAATGCAGTTATATCCTGAGAGTTCCCAGACCCTTCTACCTTTTCTGACCTGGAAACTAGTTTACAGCTTTCATCAGAACATTAATACAAGACAGGAGCATGTTATACCCTTTTGTAAATCAAGGATGAAGCAAGAACATCAGTAAAACGCAAACCCTCTCTCATACTGATAATTCTGAAAGACAAAAATAATTTCTAGTCGTAGTTCAAAACAGCAAGAGGCAATATATAAAGAAATTCAAATTTTCAAGCGTTATATGAAGACAGCAACTTAATGTCCTGTTCATAAATGTATTACTTCTTCCTCTATATATCAAGGTAAATACACTACTGAGATAGTTTACACAACAGCTGTGGAAATTCATACCAATTAGCCTGCGTTCAGGTGGAAGCTGAACTGCAGTCTGATCCGCAAATCTGCAAAGGATCATGTGCTCCTAGAAAAAGAACAGAAGTTAAGAAATTTCACAAAAACCTGAATAAAATTTAATGTCATATTAAATCAAGATGGTAACCCCCTCCACAGTAAACTCCAATTCATAAATTTAATAGACACATCACCACAAAAAAATTTTACCCAAGTATTATAAATTATACAATATTATTGTTACTTGATATTCAAATACTACCAATTGAAAGAAATTTACAGTATCTTAAGTCAGGGATATTTATTCCCTGGTACAGCTCATATGCATGAAGGTTTTCAGCTCACAGCTTTGCAAGAAATATGCAAGGAAAATAAGAACATGTTAAAACATGTTTAGGACTTAAAAATGTAGCCAGTCAGTTCAGTTCAAATATAGTTATTTTTGTAGAACAAAAGAGCTGAAAATGCTAAACCCAAATGTGACTACTGGAGAACGGAGAAGAAGGAGAGCCACAGTCAATGTGGCTGCTTTAAGGAAAGAAACAGCAGTGATAGGCAGCCTGGGGAGAAAAAGAGGGATTCAGAGAACCCCCTCAGTAGCCTTCAGGAACCCAACACAACCCAACTCTCTGCAAGATCAAGTTCTCAGCTCATCCAACTAGACCAGAGCCAAGGTAAGCCTCACCACTTAACCTGAAAATCTGGACTGACACTAATGCCTTGGCTTCCTCCAGAGATGACCCAAAAGTTGAAGCAGAGCCTAAGCTACGACTACATAGTTTCCCCAACAGTCATCAAATTGTTACATGCCCTGTTGGCAGAAAGAAGAAAAGCATTTCTAAAATAATGAAGGTACTGAATTGTCCAAACTTTGTGCGTCCATAAGCAGTTAACATCATTACTGGACCCCCTTCCCCCTGCCACCTTCAATTCCCATTAAGTTTTCAAAGTTGTATGTGCAGTTACTCAGTTTTGCTTTCCAGTTCTCCTATAGGGATAGTGTCTTGACAAATAGTACCTCAAAATGTATCATGGTAGAAATCTACAGTGATCATAACCTTATTCTGTATAGCTATAAACTAATGAATTACAGCATAATGTTCTCAACAAAAACATTTTGGAAATGCCAGACTTCTGGATGTCTTTTTAGATCTTAATAAAATGAAACAGAAGAAAAATTAATTTAAAATGAGAACTGGCGAGGGGTGACACAGACAACATCTGGCTAACACATGGCAGCTCTGGCTACCAGCCAATAACCTGTAATGATTTATTAATATGAAATATAAAAATGCATATAGCTAGCTGTATAACAGAAGTTATTTATAACAAGGATTATTTGAGGCACCAACCAGCCTAGACTGTTTGTACAGACTCTTACATTATTAAGAGCAGCAATATTTTTTAGCATTGTCCTTGGTCCCTGTGCCCTTCAGCAACACAAATAATAAAAAATCGAAACTTCTATAGTGATGACAAGCCCTGTGATTTAAACCTACATGGGTTAATAGATCAAGAAAAAAAATTACTGGTCTTTAATGAGATTATACACACTATCCTAACCTAGGCATGCTTGACTTGATAATTGTCACCATGTCCCTCTGTACTGTCAAAAGGTCTATTTTAATAATATGAAATAATCTTCTTCTGAACTGGAACCCAAGTTCTTCATGATTTTGTGTTAGAAACGTACAGGTGTTGAAAATAATATTAAATCAAGGTAAAAATAATTACAGGTCCAATCCACTGCACTATTTTCATCATCTCACTCTACGGACATTTATTTCCATGTAAGCTAGTAAAGTCTACATAAACCAGACGATCATGAAGATAACATTAATGTATTACCAGATAACTGAACTTCCCTATATAAGATGCCTGGAAATTTTCTTGATTTTTTTAATTGCCCCTTACTTGAGGATTAAAGAAAGATAATCTCAATTTTTCTGCTACATGTAGCGCCTTTGCTATGTTCACTGTCACAAAACATCTGCACATTAGAAATACCATCTCTCTCTCTCATATATCTGTTACAAAGCATTATACTGCATCTCCAAAATTATTTTTTTTATTGCAAACACCAAAACCTTGTCTAGGATTTGGCATGTAATCTTAGTAAAGTTTCTATAAAATCTTGCTTCTCTCAAATGGAAACATTTTCTTTCCATGTCAGATTAAGTGCATCTAATCTTCAAATTTCTGATCGATCATCACTAATTAGTCGAAACACACTAGACAAAGCTTAGCAGATCAGTAACAGTTCCCTGCTGTCCATCTCTCTGCTCTTGTCCTTTTTCACTCCTGTTACCAGTTATCTTCATCCTCTCAGACCAGCAATTCTCATTGATTCTTTCTCCCACTTTTCTCTCACACTTGCCACCCAGACCCTGGCTCCAGAGTCCAAACACGTTTGAATATTTTAAAAATAATTTTCAATAACATTTTTTAAACAGTTTTTTATAAAATGCTTCCTGATGAGCATAAGCTCTTCCTACTCACTATGCTCCATCTTCTAGACATAAACTAGATGGAGAAATCTAATGTTTATCAGAAAATAGTCTCTATAAAAGCAATAATTTTACCTAAAACATGATCAGACATTTCCACAGTATAAAGAATTGTATTTTGGATGTAAACAAATTGGTATCCTGTAACTGTTAACAGATACACGTTGAAGTATCTTTAAAGTGGCTCATTTATACATTATGATTAAAAATGTTGTTTTATGGAGAAACTTTTATTTTATTGAAGAAAAAAGCCTTAAAAAATGGATGGGGGAGAGAAAGCAACACAATCAAATCTGCAATACTAATTAACATTTCACATAACACATGCTGCTGCAGGCAACTAAAATATAACCACTTGTATTTCGTTTGCTAAGAAGACCCAGTGAAACGCAGAAAACGGTGCATAACCCTTTCCCTTCCCCCCCAGTGCTTTTACATACCTTGTAAGACAAAATTTCTTTGAACTGATGACTGGAAAAAAAAAGCAATTCAATTAGCATCTAAAAATAGAAAATAGAAGCAATCATTACATATTTTGATCTCATTTTAAACACTAACAATATTCTACAAAAAAAAGCAAGAAAATCAGAAACCATTACAGTTCAGTTCACTAGAAAAGGAAAAGTGTATTTTTTTCAATTATATTATTAATTAAAATTCTCTCTTTAAATAGAAATGCTAATACAAATTTACTGGTGTTTCCACATTGTCACATAAATACTATACATTATATGTACACAAATATTTTTTTGTATCACAGAAGGTGCCTCTGCAATGGAACTGAGTACAGAACACAGGCGATATGAGGCTCTGGGCAGGCTATCATGTTTTTTGATCAAACAGAAACAAGTTTTCTAACAGAGTGAGCACTGCCAGTCTTCATGATCTAGAAAACTAACCAGACAAAAGTTAAATAGTATCTGATCAATTTTAGACAGAGAAAGGTTATATGCCTGCTAATTTTTGGAGGCTTAAAATTTGATTGCCTCTTCTTTAAGAATACTTACTGTTTCACAAGAGAAAGTAAAAAGGGACTCCCATAAAGAGATGGAAGAATCAAATTGTCTATAAAAAGACTGTTAAATTGAGAGTTTATCAAACTGACAAATTCTAATTATTTACCCTCCAAGCACTTCTGAGACAGCACACTTCGATGTTACAGAAAAATCTGAAAATTATTAAACATGTATGTATAACGGGTTTTTAGATTTGTTGATTCCTTTTAAGACACCATGTTTCAGTTTCTTATTTTCACAAATATATACCTAAGGCAATATTGTAATTCCTAGAAGAACTAAATCTGATTCATCTTGGATATCCAATATGCAAAGCTCAGCTTTATGAAAAAAAAAAAACAAACAATCCTCCTTCCCAACCTAGTTGTGCCTCAGAAAGCTCTTAGCCTCTTATCTTTGTTCATTTCATACTTACCTTTTACATTTTATTTGTATCAAAAACATTAAAATTCTTGAGCCTAAGATAAGTATCTCCAACATGGCAGATTAGGAGGAAACAATATCTACACAGCCCATTGAAAAGTACTAAAAGTTTGAACTGAAATACAGGAGAGCTTGTCTGCTTGAAAATAAATCAGAAGAGTTTCACAAGCAGTAAACTGTGGTATAAAGCAGATGTATTTCTTTAGGCTGATTGCTTACATCTTTCTCCAACATTAAAATAGTTCTACAACAATATATGAGTTTTCTATTAACTTTGTGATTTTAAGGTGAAAGGTCTGCATATTACATAGATTCCCTCAAACTGTATCTGCTATGTTGATGATATAAAGTCTTGTGAATAGATAAATCCAGAGAAAAAAAATGCAGGTATTACCAGTCTGTCTCACTTTCACGATGGGTTTGCAAAGTGAAACAGGAGCAAACAGTTGCACTATAAATGTGAACTAATATAGCCTAGACACTTGCAATTATCTTCAATTGAAAATTCTGTACTCTTTTATTATTTTCTTCCTTCGGTAAGTTGGTATTTTAAAGTTTATCATGTTAGCCTTACTTTACCTTTGTGGATATTTAAACTTCACTGTGTTTTGAATGAAGCCATAACAACAAGGGGAGATGACAAAGGCTGCTCCTGCCTTGATGCAGTGTTCGATTACCATGTCTGTTGCCACACCACATGCATGCAGAGCCACCTAAAGTGTTAAAAACAAACAAAAAAACCAAAAGAAGCATGCAAATTCCTTATAGCAATATTCTACATACAATTGTGTTGCACTGACCAGCAGCTCAAGGGAGGTTCTACCCCCCCCTCTACCTTTGTAAGACCACATCTGGAGTATTATGTCCAGTTCTGGGCTCTCCAGTTCAAGAGGGACAGGGATATACTAGAGAGTTCAACCAAGGGCTACAAGGATTATTTAGGGACTGGAACATCTGTCACACAAGAAAAGGCTAAGAGACCTGGGGCTGTCCAGTCTTGATAAGACTAAGCGGGGACCTTTTTCTTAGTGATGGACACTCAAACTAAAACCAGAATGACTTTCAATCACAACAGCTACCTGCAAGTATTTATGTATTTGGGCAACACACAGGTTGTACCCAAATTATTTATGCTCTGCTACATAAAGGCCAGTTACAGCTGTAAACAATACATTGCAAGGAAAAGCATTCAGCTCTCTCCTATCAGTACCTGTGACAGCAAATGGGGCAGCCAAAATGGAGGCACTACTTTCTCTGCCTTCTTACTCAGTAGATCAAAGAGTAGGCCTGGTGCATATACCAGGTGCATACACATAGATACATTGATCTATATTTTCATTAAATTAAGGACATTTTTGAGGCATATTTTTAAATTTATGCAGTGGTGTGGATTTGCAAAACAGCATTGTTTTGTTCTTTTTTTTTTCACAGTAAATTTAGGAAAAAGGCTTAAAACTGCAAGGCTCAGATTTCAGGGTTCAAAGTTGTTTTTCAAGGTACAGCAATTGGAAGGCAAAACCTATGCTCTCAGATACAGATTAAAACAAAGACTTTCTTGTTTGCAGGCTGCTTGATGTAAGCTCAGCTGAGCACACCATTAATCATCAATTGAACTGTAACTGCATACAGATGCTTACATATATTCCTGTCTCAAGCAGAACATTAAAAAATTAGTAAGAAAATAATTCCGCAATGGAAGTTTTTTGCTCATCTGAATTTAACAAAAAAACCCAACAAACCAGCTTAACATCAGAAATATATTCTTAATATTACAGCTATTGGATTATCATGGAATTATAGTTACTTTCCAATCTATCCAAGCAGAAAACAAAGACCTCTGATTTGCTTGCACGTTTTGAAGAGAGACCTTAAAAAAGCACTGGATAAAACCAGTAACTTACTGAGCCTGTATGAAGTGTTACAATAACTGATTCCTTCTTTGGTTTACTCAGAATCATTTTAGCGAAGAAAAAAAATCACACAGTGAAAGACAAAGCTTTCTCAAGATATCCTATATATTAAACTCACTACCTGAAACAAAATAAAAAGTGATAAATAATGTATATAATGCATTTGGCTCACAAATCCATACATCTGTAGAGAGAAGAAAACAAAGTGGCCCCTGAAGAGAACAACAGAGCTAACGCAGTGTGAGGGCACTACCCTTATTACTCCTCCAGTGCTGCAGCTCCTGAGGGCACACAGAAAAGTGAGGGGAAAAGATAAAAACTCAACACACTGAAAAATATACATCTCCAAGTAAAACCTTAAGCTTTACAACTTGTTCTCCATAAATAGCTGAGATACTACTATAAGCACTATGAAGTATTAAAACCAACTAAGATCCTATGGCTGTTGGCACGTAAATGAAAAGTGCATGTAAATATTTGGAAAGCTTTCTTTTAGATTGAAATTCTTTATTATGGTGATGGTATATAATAAATTTACTTATTACGGCAGTTGTACTACAACATGTAATATTACAATGTAGTAGTAAGTCTGTCATTCAAATAGATTGTTTCAGAACCTTGATCCATTCTTACCCCAACAATTCATAAGGGTGGAAATTTTATATGGAGCAAAAGGGAAAAAGTTGACACATTTTTCTTAATCTGCTTTTGAACTCCTGGCAGGTAACGGATAAGAAAATAGCTAAGTAATTCAGATTTGATGTCAAGGTAACTAAAATGCATATAAACATTTTAAATTAATATAAAAATATAACAGATGAAGACTTCTGCCCTGTTCATTTTTCTATAATACCTCTTTAAATTCCTAACACTATAACCAGTTAATTTATTATCATATCTGCCCTCTCATTTACATTGTATTGTTTTACTGAAAATGATGGAGTCATGCAATGGGTGAATAGCTTTACAAGCCTCAGAAGATGGTTTCAGAAATTATGCATTGCCAAACTTAGTACAAATCTGTGTATTACAGCATTATATTGTCATTTTTGTATCAGACCAGTGTTTATGACATAGTCACAGAATCATTTAGGTTGGAAATTTATATGTATCATTTTAAAAAATTAAAACTCTCCACAGAGATATTTAACTTAGTATTACCTTACTATTAAAAATAGACCCAAACAAAATGAAGATGGGAACTCAAATGATCATAAAATTGGAGACTCATTTCACTAAAAAACTATTAAACATTTCACACACAGATGTCAATACATTATTCATGAATTCCTGTATTTTTGAAATAGATCTTTAGTTCATCTACTTAAATTTATATGGCTATGCAGCACAGAAAATAAAGCTAGAGAACTGGAAATTTATACTGGGCTAAAATAATTTATCCTCTCCTCTTTCTCCCGCACTATATTTCTTTTCCTTTATTAAATAAACCAGCCAAACATTTAAACAGCACTGTCCATGTACCATAAAGCTTCAGCATTAAATATCCTAAGCTACAGCCAAAAAAGGGCCTTGGATGGATGATTTAAAGAACAGTCAGACTATCTCTGAAAGCTTGGGGCTTGCTGCAAAATTTGATATTCTATTATGAGAAAAAAACACTGGAAGACAGGAATCTTTACAGAGTACAAAATACTATTTATGTCCCACCCTTCACTAGGGCTACAGAATTCTGGAGAGGACATTCATGTCGTTTACTTTTAGGGTCTAGCATGGATGCTTGAAATCAGTATTCAAATAATGTACTTCACTCCTTCAGTACTCGGATTCCTGCTTTGGTCCACTCATTTACAGTTACCTAGGAGTCAGAGTTTCACCTGTTGACTGCAACAAGAGTGCTCAGCATGAGTCCTACAAAACTGGGATATGATTCTGCATTTATAAATATAGAATCATAGCATCTTTTTGGTTGGCAAAGACCTTGAAGATCATCAAGTCCAACCATTAACCTAACACTGCCAAGTCCACCTCTAAACCATGTCCCTGAGCACAACATCTACACATCTTTTAAATACCCCTTGACATGGTGACTCAACCACTCCCCTGGCAGGCTGTTCAGTGCCTGAAAACCCTTGTGAAGAAAATCTTTACTAATATCCAATCTAAACCCTCCCTGGCACAACTTGAAGCAGTTTTCTCTCATCTATCATTTGTTTCTTGGTAGAAGAGGCCAACCCCCACCTTGCTACAACCTCCTTTCAGGTATTTGCAGAGAGCATTAAGGTCTCCCCTCAGCCTCCTTTTCTCCAAGCTAACCCACCCCAGTTCCGTCCGCTGCTGCTCATAAGATTTGTTCTTCAGACTGTTCACCAGCTTCACTGCCCTTCTCTGGACTTGCTCCAGCACCTCCATGTGCTTCTTGAAGTGAGGGACCCAAAAGTGAACACAGAATTCAAGGTGTGACCTCACCAATGCTGAGCAAAGGGGGACAATCACTGTCCTACTCTCCTGCTGGCCACATTACTTCTGATACAAGCCAGGATGCTGTTGGCCTTCTAGCCCATCTGGGCACACTGCTGGCTCATATTCAGTTGACTGTTGACCAACACCACCAGGTCCTTTTCCTCTGGGCAGCTTTCCAGACACTCTTCCCCAAGCCTGTAGCCTTGCATGGGATTGTTGTGATCAAAGTGCAGGACTCTGCACTTAGCCTTTTTGAACCTCACAGAATTGACTTTGGCCCATCAATCCAGGACCCCCTGCACTGTCTTTCTACCCTCAGGCAGGATCAACACACCTGCCCAACTTAGTGTCATCTGCAAACTTACTGATGGTGCACTTGATGCCCTCACCCAGATAATTTGTAAAGAGAAGAAGAGAATTGGCCCAATACCGAATCCTGGGGAACAGTAGCAACAGTAGTCTTCTCTTCCCATCTGCAAAACCTTCTCCAGAGAATATCCACTAACAAATCACTGATTTTAAAACATGACTAAACGAAGAATATACCTCATTTTTTCTTCAACATGGTCAGGCAGCACTCTTAATTTTGTATTTGATTGGAACAGACACTTCTTTGTTCACTCGTGTAATGTAAAAGGGATGCCAACTTGCAACAAATAATAAATACAAAAATAACTTAATAGAGGTTACTGTAACAAGGGTGCTTGTCTTAGCATCAAAAATACCAGTCTGTAAGGTCATATAAAATTCTGTTTTCTCAGCTATTTTAATTGCTTTAAGAATAATTAATCAGTCACTGAGGTTTTGAAGTGGAAAAGCTACAATGACTTACCCCAATGTTAAAAGTCCCATTAAAATAGTCCAAATTTGCTTGAATGAACCAAATGTTGTTTAAACCTAGTTCATCACTTCTGTCTTTAGCACGGAACAGAGACAACTCCTTATTTTCTATGAGCACCACCTAGATTTCATACACAGGAGAAAGGCAAGTAATAGCAAGACATCAAAATACAACATCACCAACAAGCACAAAACTCTGTAGTTTAGTTGAGAAAACCTCTAAAATACTTATGACACAGCTTGAGATCTCCGAAATTATTAGCAGGAAACCCAACAACAATGGAGGACATTTAATACTTGACAATTTCCATCAGCCTGCAAATATTTTCCTATAACTTTTGTTTTCTCAGGCAAGAAGTGCACACATTTGGGATTATGCTAAAAATTTTTATGCTTCAAATATAAATCCTCTACTGGGGATGAGACAACTGTGTCTTAATATTTATTCTCCCTACATGCATATTTTTATGATGATTAACAGAGACCCAAAGCTCATACAATCTAAACATTATGTTTGCAATTTACCTGACACAATGGCATCATGTGAGCAAGCACAATTCCAACGTGGCCCTGCAAAAACAAAAAACAAATTCTGAGTGACTTTTCAGTGTCCCTGTTGTTGATTCATTTCTCAATGAGCAACAAAACCTTTGAAAGAATTTGTACTTTGGCTTTGCTTTGTGTCACTAACCACCTAGCACTGCCAAGATGAAAGGTGAAAGAAACTATATCATGTAAAAAAAAATAAAAAATTTATATATATTACCCCTCCACTGCAGAAATCCACTATCACATCTCCAGGCTTAGCAAGCTTTGTCACCGCTGCTACCAAATTATTCAATTGCTGCTGCTTCCTCAGAGCCCGGTCTCTAGACATCTTTCCTGGAGATGACAAAGAAAATGCCTAAGCAGTGATAAGCATTTGACAACATTGATAATTTTAAATGGGTAACAGCAAAGCACTGCAAATTAAATTTATGGCCAAGACGGAAAACTAGCTGGAATACTTCAGCATAGAAATCCACTTTGAGCCAAATTCACAAATACTTGGTAGAGCTTTCTCTATACCTTTAGTATATTTAAAACTTCATTTTCAAGCTGTTGCTTTGTTAGGAAAAGACTCATAGAAACTGGAAGCAATGTTAATATAAAATAATCAAATCAGTGTAAGCTCTAACCTGTTTATATAGCAAACCTGTGAATCATGCCTAGAAACAGAGCTCAAACACATTCATAGTGAGATTGCCAAAACAAATCCCTACTTACTAAATCTATATACTATGTTTAAGAATCCTGTTTTAAAAGCTTATGCTCTTCTGTCAATTTTAACTTTTCATAATATGAAGCCTAGTTTATTTCAATGACTGTAAAGAGGCACTTCTCAAAGCAACTACTTCTGCATAGCAAAGTCTGGCTTCCTATCACATCTGTCACACAACCAGAAGTTGAAAAACTTAATTTATTTCAGATGTGCCTGGTTCAGAGAACTTGCTTCACAGATAATGAATTTGTTTCGTCAAAGGTATTTTTTGCAAAGATGCATTTTGTCTCAGTGAGGCTAACAGATGGTGCTCACAGACCTATTTAATACTCCTTTTGTTTGTTTGGAAAGCAGAGTTTGACATAGATATTGACAGTTAAAATATTCATTAAGTCATCTTTACAATAGTAAAAAGGGTACTGAAACAACTTTCTTGAATGTGTTTTTATGAAGGAGGTTAGGTGAACAAAGCAATCCTAATATTCTCTGAAATATGAACACCTTTCCTACTTGGAGCACCATATTATATTTGAGTATGGGCACTTTCCAATTTTTATTAAATTAATTACATTTTTCTATTAAAAATATATTTTCCTCAGTATTGAGGAGTAGTTTAGAAAAAAATCCACAAATCAGTGAAGTTTCCTGGTTGATACAAAAGTTATTCAATTCTCATCAACATCATAAATTATTGCATTTACTATACAGCTTACTGCTTAAATCTCTATTCTAAAAATGCATTACTCTGTACAATATTTTATTGGAAATATCATTTCACTTTACAATAAAATAACTTGTCAGATAACTTTGTCACATTGCTCTGGACAGAGTGAGAAAAAAATTCACTTTAAGATACTACAATCTATATTATCAGAGCAGAGAAAACAGAAAAAGCTGACAAGAAAAGGCAGAGGCAGTAGGGCAGAGTTCGTTCTGCACAGTTATTGCACAGTCATTTAAAAAAACAAAGTAATGACATTTATAAAAAAACATTCCTAAGCGACTGCACTGCATGGTGATATTTTGAACTATTTACTACTTCTTAATGCAAATTAAGAGAGTGAACACAACCTCCTCACTTATATCAGCTTTGTAAGTATAAAATAGCACCTTTTATAAAAATCAAACCACTGTTACATTTCAAATATTTTGTTGTGTGAACTGTGAAAGTTACCATAAGGAAGAGTGCCAGAAAATGAAACTTCCTAGTGGCAAAAATGTATACAAGGACTGTGGATATGAAACTTTAACCATATTATGTAAAATGATAAATACATTTTAAGGAATCATCTCTTTCACATAAGCAGACTCTTGGAAAAAAAAATTCTGAAAGACTATACTGGAAACCCTAATTCCTTGTGTGCCGAATCTCTATGTGAACTGATCCATAGCTCGCCTTCAATTTTCATGCTTCCATTTCATAAACTGATGTTCAAACATTTTCAACATCTACTCTAACTGGAGCCAATGAAAGATACACACATTACAGCATGTGCTGTCATGGTGTTTGACCTAGAAATTCAGCTACCATTTGATAGGTAGACAAGGACTGTGATATTAAAACCTAGAATATCCTATACCTAAAGAAACCATACAAGTATGTTCTCTGTGTACATATATGCGTGTGTGTGCATACATGCATACACAGTCACAAAGGATGGCTTGAGTTCTAAAAGTATGCAAGTAGTACTTGTCCTGCACGTAGCTTTAACCTATTTGTGGCTACCTAAGCAACAAATGAAAAGAATCAGAAAATATAATTTACATTTGTCTGTTACATCCCCCATAACTGAAATACAGCTGTGGCAAGGGGAGCACAATTAACAGAAACTTTTTCCATAATAAAACAGGCTACTACTTGGGTTTGTTTTAACCAATCAACAGATCTTACTACTTTTGTTTCATTTCAATTCTCCCTAGAAAAGCACTTAACAAAATAATTGTTAGTCTAAAAGAAAAAATAAATTACCAGATGTCTTCCACTTTCATGAAGGCAGGAAGAAACTGAGTCACCTTTGAATTCTTTTATCTAATAAGAAAATGAGTAGCCAAGTCCAGACTTCCTGACAGATACAGCTTCCTTAGCAGCCCAAGAGGAGCCATCCACGTACAGTATCAACATCTGACTGTGATTACATAGCTGTAAGAAGTGTGACTGCAGCTCAGCTTGGTAAAGATGAGCTTGCTTTGAACAATCCAGTTTGGACACAGCAACACTGCTACAACAGTTCTGTGATTATGGCAAGCTAACATTCCAAAAACTCATTCAGCTCATAGGCTGCTAAAACCAAAGCTACCAGCTTAAAATTAGCTTGGCTTATATCTATAAACTGCAGACATACTTATAACTGTGGTATGAGCCTACTCCTATGATACTGCAGGTCCAGAACTACTGGGTAGCAGCAGCAAGCACAAATAGCAAGAAGGAAGTGGAGACATAACTCCTGAATGGTACTGGATAAAATCTCAAGTTCAGAAAAAAAAAACAGAAAACCAGGCTTTCCAACAGCATGATAAAAACATAAACAGAAGGGCTTTTTTTTTACATAATTCAGTGTGGACTTGCACACAAAATCTCTTCATTAGAAATACAATTTCAGATGAAAGGCCAGCTCTGTTCTCCAAAAGGAGTCTGAAAGCAACAAAGTTGGGCTCATAAGCTTTGGTGGCATAATTTACACTGCAACTAATTTTTATCAGTGGTCGGTTCTCACAAGCATTACCTTAAAAAAAAAAACCAACAACACCAAAACAAAGCCAAACTAAGTAACAAAAAAATCACACACAAAACTTCAACCTTTACAAATTTTCTTCCTTTCTATTCAGTGAAAACAAGTAATTAAAGTAATTAAAGCTCATTCACAGTATAAAGTTGCAAGCTCCCTTAGTGGAAAGCCTTCCAAATCCAAGGCTTTCTGAGCCTTGGTTACCTTGTGGTAACCACCACAATTAATCTAATGGCATTTGTTGTAAATGTAGCTTCTGTATCACTCACTTATATCCACTTTCAACTTCAATCTTTGTAATTATGAGAGGGACCAGGCAGAAAATGTTCTGATTCCTGCCTATCAACAGGCATTAGCACAGATATTCTGAGCCATTTTACTGCACAAAACTGAAATAAAGACCACAGCTGCCATGCTAAAAATGGCACAAAAATCCAAGCAAATGCTCTTAGTTCTTTATCCAGCTTCTCTGTTCTTATTTTGCCTAAGGTTTTCCTGAGAGGTCTGGGATTTATTAATATCAAGTATAACTCCTGAAAAAAAGCCATCAAATGTGTATACTATGCAAAGTCAAATAAATTCTCGAGTCATTAAAAATCAAAAAGTAAAATGATAACAGGTTTTGTCAGCAAGAACAGATGGACTGTTTAGTATTCAGTCAACCTCCTGAGTACTAAATTAATAAGAAATATTTTTTTTAAATAGCCTATAATTTTTTTAAACTTCCTAAAAATTAGCTCTTCATGGTCACCAACAAAAAGGTGACATCCTGCTTTTACTATGCAGGCAATCATACATTCCCTTGAAAGACAGAGTAAACCACGCTCAAATCAATAGATCTTTGTCTGCTTTACCTCTATTTTGAGCTTGGTAGCTAGAATCACAGAAACACAGTGAGTTGTCACATAGCCTTTAGAGAATGCTAGGTAACACAGCTGGGCACACTAGTCCTTCATTACAACAAATAGGCAATAATTTCAACTAAAACTTGTGTGTCTAAAAATACTACAGCTCACTTTGCTCTCAAGCTTCATAACGGTAAAAAATGTTAATTGTTATCTTCAAGAACAATAGGAGAGGATGTAACTTGAAATGTAGTCCTACAAGGCAAAACCTTTAAGAACATGACCTTTTCCTATAATACACTGAAAGGCTCCCTTTTAATCCTATTCAATTTTAAAGTCATAACAGTACAACAGAACATACAGCGATCAAAACATACACCTAACACAGCATGCATGCATTCTGCTATTCCATACAGCAAAATTGCATACTTTCTTTAGCACAAGTATCTTGCTAATCAGGTTTTCCATAAGTCTCAGCTAACTAAATCATGATAATTAGAGTCTACTTTTCATGGAAATTCAAGTAGAGGATATTTATTACTATATTAATTTAATCTTAGTACAGCAAAAAGGCCCAGTAATTCTAAGGCAAAAGCCAGAGAGATAGTTTTATTATTTTATACTAAGCTGAACACATTTTTTCTGAAGCAATACATTTTTTCCTAGTAGCTCTTTACGATAATTATTTCTTAATACTCAGGTCATCTCTCCTTCACTTTCATGTTGCTATGTCCTGCTACAGTATTTTCAGCACCTGTTGAGGGATGGAGGGGTAGTTTATTTCTTTGTTTTGAGGGTAGTTGTGGGTTTGCCTTATGGGTTGTTTGTGGGATTTTTTTCAATACAGTATTTGCCAGATTAATAAAGCCATACAGTGGTTCCCATGCAACTGCTAGAAAAACCAGAATTCAAACAGGTGAAGGATGCCAGCCCAGCTGACATTTATTTAGAAAGAAATATTCTTGTCAGAAACAGTAATACATTCTTATAAAGAACTCTGCCAAATCTCACAACAAAGACAATTAGCAAAGACAATAACTTTGCCATAGT